GCTGGCATTAGCTCAAACTCGGAATGCCCCCTCTCTTCATTAAGTAGGGCCTTTCAAATATGCAGCGAATAACCTTCCCCAACATGAGATTCACACCACCCACACTGAGCTGGACAACACAATATAGTCTAACAAGGAACACACCAATGAGAGTGAGAACTGTATTAATATTTCCGTTACTCCGTCGTTAAGGCACTGGGCACGATCTCGAAAAAGGAAAGGAGCCTAACGACTGATCGCCATACGCTGAGAGGGGGTCAAACCCTGCAGAAACACACTAAGTAACCGATTCCCCATAAGCATATTTACAAGATTATATGCTATAGTTGCTGAAAATGGCAGATAGATGGGTACATTATTTGGCTCTGCCCATATCCGCCTCTCAACGACGAGCATATCTCACCCAGAGTCGTACAGGCGCTCTCCGGGCTTGTAAAATGAGGACTGATATGCATATACACAATGCTTTCCTCCAATCGCAAGGACCAAGCTGCATGCAAGTTCATCCTCAAGTGTCAAGGTTAGCACGACCAACACCTGAAGCGAGGTATACGTGCGTAGACAAGACAGAGGATACAAGGCAAGCGGCGCCCCATTCGCTGCGTGTTGTAATCATGGACACGGAACCGTATCAGGAGTGCGAGAGCCAGAGAATGGCAAGATACGTGGCATACGCTGTTGCAAGTAGATCACTGAAAAAGCATCTGAAATGTGGCATTCTCTGTGCAGAATAATGGTTGTCATCTGGCGATAATTAGGGAGAGCAGAGCATAGAGATAAGTGCGTCACAGGGATACAGGGAGGTTGATAAGTGGCAGTGAGAGGACCTTCATATGGTTCATGAGCGGAGACGCGACTGGGTCCATTTCCATCTAGCGTCTATTGTCTAAGCATGTCCTCAGGCTACTAGGAATCACATGTTGGCAGATACTGGGTGGACCATCGGGAGAGCATATATGCATTCAAAGGGGAACCTCAATGATTCTCACTGTGGGTCTGGTTGAAGAAGCTGCCATCATGCCCTCATCTACATCTTCGGTCCGTGGAGAGTCTCGAACGCATCATTCTCCACTACAGAATTCTGAGAGGGTGAGCTCGCGCTGGAAGCAGAGACCGGAAACAAGTAGGATAGACTACAAGCGTGAGTACGTTGAGGACAAGTAGTCAGAAACGTTCTGCAGCTTTGCAATTGGACCGATTTATATGGAGAGCTCTCCTCATATCCCCTCGTCATGTTCCATGTCTCTTCCTCGGCAGTCTAGCGCCTGACAATTTTGGCTTTTGTCACTCTCCCAAGCGATAGAAATGATCCTCATTACAGATGCGATGCTTGGAGCAGATGATGACAAGTAACAGGAAGGAAAAACCCCATCGATGTAAACACGAGCATCGGTCCGATCATTCCCATGGTACGTATCAAAATTGTGACAACTTGGTCTAACGGCTCAGTGTTGCGATAGCCAATTGTGGAAAAGACTTTTTCACATTCAATTCTGACTGTGGTAGCATCTGAGGCTTGTTTTCCAGAGGGCCGCTGAATGTTGGATATGGGTTATTCTAATTTCTGGGCTTCACATGTAGAACCTGTTAGTCAAGACTCCTAGTAAAAGGGGGCTATCGTTCTTTAATGGTTTTCTTTCACCTTCCCCCTGCATGTCCTGGAGATCTTACATCGCAACTGACATGGGTGAAATCTTTATTACGAATGTATCTGCATGCTCCGAGTTCACTGAGGATTGGAGAACATATACATACCCTACCCAGCTGAAGTGCATGAGAATGAGTACACTTGATTCTGCAGTCGAGCCCATAAAGGTCTATACTACTGGAATGGAGGGTTATTCGGACTCGCAGAGTGCAGTTCTTTTATTGAAACTCCATGATATTCATGCCAAATTCATTTAACTTGATGGAAGAGTCAGACGAATTAAAATCTGCAGGAACATCATCCAAATCATCACTAAATACCTCAGTACGAAGACAACTTGTTATGGAATAGGAAATGATATTCATCTGAAAAAATTATAACCCAACTGCAGCGATTATGGGTAGGGAAATAAAGAGCAGTGCTGTACTCCAACACCGATTTCAATGTACATGAAGCATCTTGTGATCAGGTTGCCATATCGCAATGGCATGGTAGCATGAAGGAGGACATGACAGTCACAGACGAAGATGGTGCACTGACCGAAAACATTGCAGTGTCAGTGATGAGCCTAAACTTCCATGGCAACGGCAAAAACCAAAACTCTAGAGGAGTTCATGGCAAATGGCATGTAGCAGCAATAAAGGCTTTGTTGTTGTGCGAGTGTTTTGGTGCACCTCTGTGTGATGAATTCCTCAAGAACGCAAGTATACACTGCGACTTTTCAGTCAGCGGAGTAGTACCCTTAACGAACGAGTACTAGAAAGCGTTGGCTGTAAGCCAGGAAGGGTCTTGATGTATGAGAAGGAACGGAATCCGGTATAACTGGGAATACTGGCAAACCGTGAATGAAGTGATGGCAATTAACTAGTAAAAGCCGTGGGCAGAATTGGTGGAATTAATGGAAATGCCGTCAAAGAGAAATACCGTTTGGCAAGATAACAAATACCAGGACAGCAATAGACAAAGACTGTAGTCGAGAAACTGGCGGTAAAGCAAAGAGAGACTGGCTGGCAGAAATATGATGAGAGACTAGCAGCGGAAAACGATGACTGAGACTGGGCGAGGCTGATACTGAAACTATACTGGGTTAACGACAATAAAACAAAACTGATACTAATCCTGAGTCTACATGGAGACTATCCTATTCTGAAACTGACAGCAAGATACCAAATACCGTGACTGAAGGTCCTATACTGAAACTGTTGACCGAAATTCCGTGACAGACACTGCTGATGGCAATAACGATCCTAATCTGTGTCCACATGGGGATGTAACTGTACTGAGCTGAACTGGGGTGAAACAATGGCGACGTAGAAAGTGAAAGCTGGGAAAACAATGCTGGCTGGTGAAAGTGAAATGATGCTGGTGGAATAAAAGATAAAAGCGAGTTCTGGACACGAAATTCCATGTATTGGCGCAATATGAGCATACACCAATACCGTTAGAGAAAAAGCCATGACAGAGAGTATAACTCGGAGTGACTATGCTGTTATTGTCTGTCTCCTAGTGAATACAAGCAGTGATGGTGGTCGATAACATGTGTGTCAACTAGTGTCCAGTAACTTGTGTCTGGTAACTTGTGTCTCACAACTACCTATTTTCCATGGTGTATACTAGCTTTTATAATATGAGTCCGGAATAAATTTAGAATACTTGAGCGAGTCCTTAGTAAGTCCATAGTACATAGATTGGTAAGAAATGATACAAAATGTGTGCTCCCAGAGTTCTAAAGTAACAGCACCCACACAGTTTTACTGTGTACTGTGGTTCGAAAGTAACAGCACCCATATGGCTTTACCACATATAGATGAAGTGATTAGCAAGAATGCCACCGATCTCCAGAATTTTGAGCTGCTGTGTTGCTGCGGCAAAGTACATTGAAGCAAGTGTACTGAAGTAGATGCTTGCGGCAATCTCTTGGCAGTATAACAGCCTTAGTAAAGACTGAGGAAAGGTCACAGCATTAGAGCTAATGCCACGGAATTGCTATTTGAGCTGCGGAATTGTGGCTGTGCTAGGCAATCAGATGGGATTCTAAATCCATGAGATCAACAATCAGGTGCCTGGTGGAATTAATGAAAGGGGCACGTAATTGATGTGGGGTACAAGTGGGGAAGGATAAGTGGCAGCATTAAGCAATATTGCTAGGATTGAAACAGTAGGTTTGTGTGGTGGCTGGGGAATTAAATATCTGGTAAAATCCATGAATTCTGAGTGTACAGAGCCTGGAGGCTCATCATCAGGTGGAATGCTGAAATTCAACTTGGTACTCTGCGTGGAGGCATAGTATGTTGTCGGTATCTGAATATCATATGTGGGTAATTTCATTTGGAGGGATAGCAACCAAATGTGCCAAGTTTCCTTCGTAGGAGAGATAGCACAGAGTCACAGAGATACGCACGGTCCAGAGAATGGACCTTACTTGACAAACAGGAGACAATATATGCCACTGAATACAGTTGTGAAATCAAGATGCATCAATGAAAAAGAAGTGATACACACTGCATCCTGAAAGGTTTTTCACACAGCATATTACAGAGTTCTATCAGCGCCTAAAAGAGGATCAGATCACCAATAAAATGTACCTCTACAATAGTGAGATTCTGTAAGGGGAACTGACCTCATCATCAATATGAGGTCATGACCCCTTATTGTGATCGTATCTTATCTTGCTCTATTTGGACTTACATATAATTACCTTACCACCCAAGATAACTAAGTAGTCTTTTTACCACCACCACTTGTACACTCAGTAGATCACCAATATACTCTGGTCATCACTACTCATGTGTATTGAGCTAAGGTGGTATTTTTACACTTTTTTAGTGATCCCAGCTATATTTGTGACTACTACACTGACTCGAATTCCTGCCTACCAGCATTGAAAGACATGTCCAGCACCATAACTCGAACCAAATCAAAGTGGGGAAAGTTGTGCTTGACACTACCTGACCCCCAAAATGCCACAACAATGGTGGCTGCCACCTAGACTTCATGCAAAACAAAAAATTCCAATCGGCCGATATCAGCTGTCACAGAAGAGATGACAATGTTGAATGCCATGCATAACCATGGCTGAGACATGGGGGCACCACATCAACAAGGCACAGCACCCCCAACACAAGGACAGCCTCTGGGCGGGACAACCAGCCTGCTCACTGACCTCCCTGATAATGAGGTCGAAATAAAAACCACACTGGACTTGACATTGGGTGGATCACTGGTGGTAATCCCCACCCCAATAAGAATGGATGCAAGTCCTGCCCTGGACCCCCATACCAGCATGGGAACCATGCCTGAAGCCTTTGGGTCGAGCAACGACTGAAGGAGGAGAGTCAGTACAGTAAATAACATGCCAGTTGACAGAAATTGGTGTCAGGTGCCTGAGATGGTAAACAAGGCTACCAAGGCAGCCAATGATGGCTCCCATATGTTTACCTTACCAAATGGATCTGAATTTGAACTGTTCATTGATGATGATGGAACAGAAAGACATGACATACCCATTGACCAACGGCTGATGGAAGAAGTTGGTGACCACCAACCTCCCGATGATCACAATGAATCAGAGGAGGGGTCGGCCAGCCAGAGAAACTCAGGACAAAAGATGAGGAGTCATCGCAAGACGAGGGAGACCCAGAACATCCCCAGGACATGTGTGAGGCCCTCAGATCAGACCATGTAGCATATGAGTTTGTGACACACAAAAATGGGGAGTGGATGAGCCTGCAAGCAGATGCACAACAAGCTCAGGATGCCCTACATGAGATGAGCGATGAACAATGCACCATAATAAGGGTGCTTGCCAATAGGCAGACACATGTTGCCCTGAGAATGATGGGTGTCACAAATATCGACCCCGACTCCAAGGCTTATCAACAGCAGTATAATATCACTGTGGTTAGTATTGTTGGAGGGAGCTTGATACAATCCCAGGAGTATGAGCAAGCCTCTGAACAAGTGAAAGATCAATCGAATCCAAATGATTTGTTCAGTGAACAAATATGAGACACAGCAGCACAATTTGGATAACCATGAATCATACCGCATCCATGATTGTTCAACTTATCAGGGAACTCACAGGGATCCAGTTGAGCCCCTATGCCAGCCATCCCAAACACTCGGATTGATCATGGCAATATGATGCCGGAGGACCACCCTACCCAACACATGAGAGTAGTGGTGACCTCGGACGGCATAGGCAAAACTCTGAAAGATCGGGCCATATTGCAGAGGTGGAGAGAAAAGAACATCACTGAATCTGGACGAACCCATATCCCTGACCAAGCAGTGAACTGGGATAACCAGGGACAGCCATATGACATGAACAATGATGTGCACAGGATGACTGGCCACTCACACCATGGATATGGAGGGGCCCTTAGAAGACAACCCCCACCAGGTGGGCCAGGAGACCCAGACGACTCTAGTGGAGGTGGAGATGGCCATGGATGGGATGAAGGACCCATACAATGATGTGAGGGATACCGACATGGGCCCCATGACCACCAATTCCCTCCTGGATCGGGAGGGCACAGAGGTGGAAATGGACCACCTCCCCCACCACCTCCAGGAGGAAGTGACAATAGAGGGAGTGGGTCAGATGACCCTGATGATGGGGGCAATAACCATGATTGCCCCTGAAGGGATGGGTGGATGAGATCACATTGATCCTCCACTATGCCTCATGTAACTTGTAATGAAGAGGCATACCTGTGATTCTGAGGACTCATACATGACCGCATTCAGCACTTTATTGATGAGCACCTAACAGTGTAACTCAGATTACTAGAAGGAGTGAAGCCTCCCCATCTAGACATCAAGTCTGTGAAACCATATGATGGTGACCTATCAATGGAAGTACTCTGGGACTGGCTCAAGAGCTTAGTAGTTCATCTGGAGGCACAACAGCTAGGTGGTCCTGACAGAGATTGGGAACAGAAATTAATTATAGAATCTGTCTTTAGAGGAAAGGCAAAAAGGTGGTACCATGATCATATAATCGAGGTCGATGGAAATCATGACTGGACTTTCACTACAGTGATACTCGCATTGTATGACTGATTCATACATGATTCAGTCATGCAAGAAGCTCAAATGAAGTTTGAGAAGGAGGAGGAACTGTTGAGGACTTCCAGGACCTACTTGAATCATGTATCTGCAACATGACCCTTAAGCCAGATGAATACACAGTCTGCAAACTGTTCATAAAGTGAATACCTCCCACTATGAGGAACACTATCCTCGAAGACCACCTGAGGGTGGAACTGAATACACTGGATGAACTAGTGCTCTCTGGTAAGGCCTGGGAAGACACTGAGTGATCCAAAAAGGAGTATGCAGGGAAGGATATGCCTCCAACACATAAATCTGGAGATAGGACTACAGGATTGAAGGACCAACCTTGTCCAATCCCAGGGATGCGGCTGTTCCTTCACCCAAAAGGAAATCCATGACATCATGGTAACAACTGAGAGACTGAACGTCCTAGAGCATTATTTGCAAACAATGTGAAACATGGAAACTGAGACACTCTGGCCAACCCAGTGACTCCTGCTGCACCTGCTCAATTGGGAAACCCAAAACAGGGTGTAGGCTGGCCATCCAGTGACATGAGCCACCTTACATGCTATACATGTGGGAAAAAGGGACACATTGTGAGTCAACATCACTCACAGGACATACCACAGATGAGGGCAGCTCGGTCCACCATCAGAGACAATATACGGGATGAAGATGACATCATTGTTGAAAGGGAATCAGAGAGGGTCGAATCCGACAACTCGACCTGGGACATCCCTAGCAACAGGGAAGAAGATATAAGTGATGACCCACATTCAGTAGGCAGGTCAGAACCTGCATGGGATGAAGTTGAATATGAAGTATACAGCAACTTCCAGGAACTGGATGAATACCAACCCTCAGAACAGATGGTGGTCATAAGGGAAAGTAACCTCGAAATAGAGGAACCAACAGATGAAGAGGATGACAAGTCTGAATATGAGACTGCCACCAAGGAAGTGAAAGAAGAAGGAAAACACACAGTCAAGTACATGACAACCCAGGACTTCGGTGAGTTCCCAAACAGTTCCCCCATATACCAGTATCGCATACATATGGCATGCAACACTAACAACCACCTGTGAGATGCTGAAGAGGTTCTGTGCATGCCAAGCTTGAAATGTGATAGCGTAGACACACTAAACACACCCACTCTCACACTCACACACACAGAATCTCAGTAGTTCAGGGGAGATGTGTGATGCAAGCACACAATAACAGTAGAATTAAAAGATGTCTTGCACTTGTCAAGATATAATAGCGCACTAGCTCAAAAGAATTCTCTAAGTCCAAATGCTTTTAGGACAGGAGGTGAGCAATATGTATCGCTCGGCCTCAAGGCAAAAGTAATATTTCACAAGCCCACAAATGTCCCACAAGAATGTACAACCCTCAATTGACATTGTGTGCAACACACAGGTGGCCACAACCCATCACACAAATTACACATGACCTAAACCTTCGTGCTCTAAGCAGAAAACACTTCAGAAACCTTTCATAGATCTACAGGGTTCAAACCTATGCGATCCAGAGACACAGAAACACAGGAACACGTCCACAAGCCACAGGGTTTGAACCTATGCTACTTGGGAATAAACCAAAAACCCTCAAAGAGTATTGACAAGCCAAAGGGTTCGAACCTCTGCCACTTGCAATAACTCAGAATTCACAAACACGTTCCGCAAACACAAATGCACATTCAAGTTATCACAATACAATATTTCTCCAAGCTGAGCACAATCAATTACTGTCCAGAATCAAGCTAGGCATCACACGTGAGTGAGGCATGCCTCATGACCTCTCAAGTGTTTCAAAATAATTCTAGATCCAATAATATTCTCTCACTTGAAGCTACAAACACAAGTCCTTTGGTTGCACACTAGGCTCTCTGCTTTGTGTCACAACTGCGGGGGTCCAAAAGCTTGCTACCTACTTCTAATTACCATGCTTTTATTTACAGCTAATTATATAAATAGAAATGTCAAAAATAGATACACTCCACCCCAGAGCCATTTCCTCTCTGTGATGCGTCAATTGCATGGTCACTAATTAATATTCTGAGTCAGTCATCCGAGTTAGTGCTCGGTAACACACTGCTCATTCCACTTGGCAAGGTCTAGAGTTGCCACATCATGCAGAATATTGCTCCTAATTGACTCCTTGTTTTTAATTCCTCTGTCGTGCACATTGCTAGTGAGCTGGTATTTTTATTTGGTTGCCGCACCACCTTTTCTTATTTCAATATTTCATTCTGGGTACAGGGTTTCTCTTGTGTCAGCCGAAGTCCTCTCAGGAGGCTCAGACTGGGTATTGCCAGATTGGCAGGGTTCGCACGTCATAGATCAATGTTGCATGAAGCTCTGTTAATATATTATCTTCTCAGTGTATTTTATTTGAGTGAAGCACTGCTGAGGGATGCATAGGGTGTGAGTTAGGCACTGTGACTTCACACTTAAATGACACCCGTGTGCTGTTCTAAGTCTAAGCCATGTGCTGCACTCGGATTATTTTATTATATGCTGCCTCTGCCTCAGTATGTGCCGCTCTATGCTGGCTATGCATTATAATATTACTTAGTGGGTTGACACATGTTTGAACTCATAGAATTCACAAAATTACATGTATGCACGTGTTGCATGCATGTCAACACATGGGAAGGGATGGCTGTGATAAATGAAGATGGTGATTGCAGATCACAGGCAAGATGTGTAAAGTTGAGAGTGGCAAAGCAGCCACAATCACAGCCACTATACTCCCCTGATGACAAACAGTGCTTGTCGACATGGATGAGAGTCAATGGACTCAAGGTACTGGCATTATGGGATACAGGCAGTACATCCATGGCAATGTCACCCAACTGTGCCGATATATCCAAGGCCATCATATTTAACCTAACATCCCCAATGACCCTGCAACTAGGGACAATAGGAAGTCGGTCAAAAATTAACTTCGGGACTAATTCCAAGGTGGAAATGCCAGGATACATGGGACCAGAATACTTCGACATAGTAAACATCAATCGATACAAAGTATTGATCGGCACTCTATTTATGCACCATCACAATGTGATACTTGACTTCAACAAGAAATGCATACAGGTGAACAGACATGACATTCCTGCCATAGTCATAATGGGAGAGGGAATGGGAAAGGACATGAACAGGTATTGACTGAGACAACCTGTGCTGGCACAACAGGAAGAATGACTATATGGTAGATCACACATAGAGATAGTGGAGGATGAACCCAAAATGGGGAGAACTATATGACCGTTACCACCAGGACACAAGTCACTGCTACAGGATAATGATGAGGATGAGGAAAATATGCAACCAGTGTGAACATCTCAGCCAGACAGCAGGAACTGGAGGGTGATACCCATTATCACCCTCCGAAAAAATGATGAGACCGGAGTGATACTCAGGACCACCCCATCCAAGATGAGGAACTGTGGGGAGTCACAGCCAAAGGCCAATGGTAAGCTGCCAATGAAAGGACTATCCAATGGTGAGCAGCCAGCAAGACGAGCGAGGTTCTGGAAGAGCGGTGTCCTCCTGGGCAGGACTTTGCCTGAGTATGAATGTCTGAGCTTGTCCACCATGAACCAGGGATCAAGTGATGTGGAAGTGACCGTTGATGATCAAAACAATGATACCGTGATGGAAGTAAGATGTGATGTGGGAACATCAGCAAACGGGTTACAAATGAGCCAGGCAGGAGTGATGATGAGAATCAGATGATGATTGAGGAAGAATGACATGAAGCAAATGACTAAAGCAAAAAATAGGGGTGAATTCATGACACTTTGAACCAGCTACATATAATGCCTCGCACACACACAAAAGGTTACAATCCAAAATACAAGTACTTAAGGGAAACTTCTCCAAGCATTTTCATTCTAGCAACTTGGAATATACACTTCTGTCTCCTTAGCCCTAGGGGACTTACACTTGAGCTATTGAGCTTGAGTTCCAATCAACCTCACCCTGCATGAACATTTAGCTTCCAATGTCACCTTGTTATTTGGGTCTTTCTATGATTTTTGAGCCCTCAATGTGGATGACTGCACAGCATCATCATTGCCAAGGACTCAAACAAGTAAGAATTATATTCAGCATCAATCAGTCTTTCTGCAGAGAGTGGATCAACTCTAAGCCAATTTGTGTTCCCTGCTACTCTTCACACAAATGAACCCTGGTTGGCTATTTTGTCCACATCACTAAAATGAAGCATACTTTTTTGTCTTAATCATGATGCCACCCCTGCATTAATGTATTGAATACAGCACTGTGGAAACAAGACACTTATCCAAGGAAAACATTCATATGCATCAAATAGAGATGCTCATCACATCCTTTGCTATGAATGGCTGGGATCTGGCTCAAAGTTGAGGGGGATGTTTCCTGGTTTGCATTCAAAAGCAGAAGCTCCTGGTTTTGTGCTAGAGATGATAATGAAGATGATTCTGTGTTTTAGTAATAATGTTTCAAGCTGCCATGTTCATCATTTACAGGAACAGTAATGGCGAAGACTTTCCTGGTATTAAACTGATGCCACTCATACAATACACCACCTGTTCATGTCACTTAATAGTATAAGGATACAGTAGTAAGTAAAAATATCACTTGTGACTACCATCTATTACACTGATTCAGTCAACACAGGATCATTTTAATATAGTCTTTCAAAATACCAAGTTGATGTAGCTCCTCTCCACCCTTGTGCCTTAGAGCACCACCACTCATACTAAACACTGACAATTTCTGAAACTTCCCATCCTGCACCTGCTTTCCGACCACCCAAATATCAATGGAATTATGCCTATCATAGGACCAGCCTGCAAGTAGGAGAGTGTATGAGTCATCAGGTATTGGGTAGTTATGGTTGGCAGAGATTTCGAGAGTACACAGTATCCTGGTATGATCTCTGATAACCAACTCTCCATGCTGAGGCTGCTTTTCACTTGTAGTGTCAGCCAATCCCCACACATCAGCAGATTTGATGCATTCTCCCTCATACCAGTCGATATCTGTCTCCTCCATCCAATCAATCCAGCAAAGTGAGTGAAATTTAACTAGGGATGCCATATGCATTACCTGCATCCATAATGGTTGCTAAAATTTGCTTCCACTCCCAGGCTCAGGGTGGCAGAACAATAGTGGTCTTGAGGAAGAGTATTCCATGGCATTCATGAGCTCTACCCATGCACACTCTTCTGACTGCTCTGCATCATATATTGGGATATATGATGATCTAAGACAGTATACCAAGCCTGCAACTCTGTCAACAGGATATGTTGACACCCACTTCTGCATCTCCGAGAGAAGCTTACCTACTGAATAGCATGGATGCATATCCTGTAATAATTTCAGTTTTTCATAGAACCTAGCTCGAAGTCTGTCATCACCAGTGTCACCACCAATGAAGATTATGCCACCAGTCTCCTGAAGTGTCCAAGCTCGATTGAACCAACACCGATCACTTTTGAAGTATCTGGGTGTTACACTCAGTGGCTGACCCAGTCCATTGAGGTAGTACACCACACATGGCGAGCATTCATACACATAGCCGATTGTGGGCACATCGAGTTTCCACTCCTCCACATGGAGATTGTCTCTGTGGTGATCCTCTTCAAGATGTTCCTCCCTAACATCATACTTCTGCCTCAAACACAGAACATCCAACCATGCATAATCTGCTCCTTCATTCAACATCTCAATGCGGATCAATTTAAGGTCAGCATCCTTTGGCATAGGTACGGGCCACTCATATCCATTGATAGGGGTCCACACTTCCTTGCAATCCTTCTCATCCACCCATGCATGTGATATTCCCCATGGTTTGTTATCAACAAGCCAGTAAGGCACCACCCGATTAGCACGCAGATCCCACACATGCTGAGGGGGTACTTCCCTCATGCTGATCCTGTGATCACAGAGCACCTCTTCTCGCATCCCTCTGTCCTTTGTGTGCTTCACTTCGTGCTCACCTAACTCATATGCAATGTTATACAAATGTGAAGTTGGGTGAAAATGAGCATAAGCGGTCCTAAAATCATAATTATTTTCGATGCAGGATTCAAGAAATGATTTTAGGACAGGGGAACGGTCTAGAGTGTATGACGTGCTGAGTGCCACATTGAACTTGTCCAATACCCCAATGATCCTGAGGTTGGTGCAGGGAGTGTCAGCCAGATCAGATGGTATGACCCTTCTACCGGTATAGGACTGCTGCTGCAACATCGGAATGGTCAATTCTTTCTGGCCTGTCTCAGTGGAGGCCAAAAGTGTGACATTAGAAGATCTTTCATACATGCTCTGAGAGATCTATAATGCATTAAATCTTGCTTCCGTAGAATGATGTTATGTACTTACATGGCCAGCATGTCGACATATGAACCTGTCCCAATCACACATTCTAGTGTCCAAGGTTGACATTGCACTTGTGTACCAAGTGGTAGTGATGCTGTGCAATAAGAAGGAAGGAAACAATCTCGACTGGTGCTCAGAGGCCGAAACTGTTGAAATGTGATATTACCATCAGCCATGTTGTCAAGAAATAAATGCTGAAAGATAACATGTACATATCAAGCAGCAATATGATCTATGTGTTGTTATCTACTCATGGGTGCTACTGTCTTAGATAGGTGGACCTTTATTAGCACGACAGTAGCTTGATGCTGACTCCTGATTTTTTTTAGTTGCTGCAGAAAAGTACGGAAACTTGGAGGAGATTCCAAGTAAGCATGTGGTACCATGAAGGATGAATTGTCAATCCTTCAAATTGTACATGCTAATTCTCTTCACCAAAGCAGCACTGACAGGCAGGCATATTGTATGGATCATTGGGTACGACAAGTATTAAAGTAATGGCAAACTTATGTATCAAAACATGCCCCTTGAGAAGGGGGTCAATTACAAAACTGTATCTTACTACCTGCTCTGGAGGATTTGTGCTCAGCCATAAAAGTTAATAGCTCTGGGCCCCTCAAAAAAGGACCCACCACAATTAACGAAGGTGCCAAACGGGATTCAAATCTGTAGCAATTATACCATGGCGATTCATAATGTATCCAAACTGTTCTTCAGAAAATCAGTCACATATCATAATTGTCGCATTCACACATCATCTCTTGGGAACACCATTCTGTTTGAAATCCATGATATCATTCAAGTGTTACATATTCTGCTGTATCCTAGTATTCTTCAGAACCTCCTTCAACAATTCAATCCACCTCAATGTTCGTTTAGACAACTCACCTGTCCTTGGATCATGATCATTCCAGGTCTGTCATTGTGGCTTCCATGAAACAAATGGTTGGATATGTAATGGGTTATACATCCCCACATTAATCCTGAAGTCCCGTGCCAGAAATAAACGACATGTCAAATTAACAATAGCCGAAGGAACTAATGATATGTACTGTACATCCTTCAAATCCTGGAAATGAGGAGTGGCCAATGACATTCAGCATTGTGGATACTAGGTACATGAGTGGGTGCTGAAATCATGTATCAGCCATTTTTTGAATGATCTAGACAAAGAACACAGATTCACAGGAAGACCCTTCATCAATGGACTAGTTGGTGAGGGCCAACGCATCTGCATGGCAGGTCCGAGTCCTATGTTTTTTTTTCTCAGAAAAATAAAAGAAAAACGTAACAATAATAATTGAATTTGTGGACTAATAACTATAACAGATGTGTACAAAAATACACTGCATCAGACTCCTCTGTACCACTTCACATCCCCAAAGGTTACACACAACTCTGTCTTTGTAGTGCTGGAGCTCTCGGGCCATGAAGCTTGGATAATGGAGGCCCTGGCAGTCCTCGATACACCACATTCCGATGCACTTGGAGTTGATGCAAGTGGCACTTCCACATTTTTTGGCAGGGTTGAGAATGGAGGACAGTGGGTAGTGGGGGTAGTGGGAGGAGCGAGTGAAGAGCGCACGAGCCTTGCCTAGGTAGGTGATAAGCCATGACAGAATAAGAAGAAAATAGGAATAATACTCACCGCCCTTCCTAGTCTCTAAGATGATGGTGAATGGCTGGACATAGCTGACCTCTTTGTCGAGAAGGAAGGCATGGGTGCAGAGGTTGACTTGGTAGAAGCAAGAGTTACAACTGAGTACTGTGGCGACGACTTGACAGACTATGTAATGCTTGGGTTCAGCCGGAGAATGGAGAATCAGCATAGCAAGGATTACACACATTTCATCTTGCGTTCTTTCTTCATCCATTTATCAGCACTCAGCTCTACCCAGTAATCCGTCATAGCATCCTCAAGTTCCTTATATCAGTCTGCATATAATTGGAATGTCACTGCCCAAAAAATCGTGCATATTCTGGAAAACCAGCATATGGTGCATCTAGTACACAGGGGTTGAGTCAACCATGACAAGAAGACATGGAAACGATGCACCAGCCCAAGGATTATGATATAACTGATATTAGTGCAACTCACCATATTCCCATACCACTCCATATAAGCCCACAGCCCCTTCGTCATGTACATCTGGACCCTAGAATCCATGAGACTCGTAGGCAACAGATGGCCTATATCAATGGTCTGGAAAACGAGGTTCTCCGACACGAAAGGTTTGCCAGGCTTCCAGGCAATGGTCCTTTGCCAATTCTTCATGCTTGCAGTCTTGCAGTACCACCACTGGAAGGGTGAGAATCCGTGCCGCTCAATGGTGATCTTTTTCTTCTCGAATAACACATTGTCGTGAAGTCTCGATCTTGGAAGCAGAGAGATCTTGAATGCCAGAGATGAAGACAGGCTGAAGAACAAGGAGAGAGAAAATAATTGAGCACCAATCGGTAAAGAATGGATGGACAGACGGGAAAAGATGGGAATAATGAGAGTAAGTAGAAGCAAATGAATAGAAAAGGTTCCCACGATGAGCTCAGGCAGCGAGGACGGCAATTGCCATGAACGAATAGAAATATTCCCACAGTTTGCTCAGGTAGCAAAGTCGGCAAATGCCGTGATGGATTGATACCCCAAATAGATTTTTTCCCATGATCAGTTCAGGACAGCATAATAACCGAGTATCCTATATACATAGGACTCGGAAAGAGCGATCTCATCATATACTCAAATGCAAGCCAAGCCTGCATCTAGGACAAAGTCCGAAACACCTTTACTCTCTCAACAAGACAGGGTTGAAAAAGGTCTGCTCTGGTTTTAGGTCGACAAAGTTATCATCGGAAAAGATGAAGGACGTGCATGGGGATTTTTGTGTTTATCCAATGTGTTAGTGCGTTTCCGTTAAATGCATTTGCATGTGTGTTATTGTGCATGCATTGGAAAAAATGCATTGGTGCGTTCGATGCATGTGCGTGCATGACAGATGTGCGTTTTTGCATTTCTTGTCATTTTGTTTTATGTGCGTGGCACGACCTAGATTTTACCAGCTGTGGCCTATCGGCAGTGATGTTCAACTAGCAAGGGTGATAGCACGTGGCCTGATGGCATGAGATAATGACAGCCACTATCCTTCCTTGGTCCTTCCTCCATGAGACATTGGGGCACAAGGGATGGTATTATGCTGATTATGTGTCGTACTATTTTTTGTCTTTCTTGTCTCCCATCTGAATCTATCTCATTCCTGGTGGCTCCGGACAATTGTGCCTAATTTCATGCGCTCATTTACTAGTTTGTCGATGCTGTGGCAATGCTGTTCATTTCTATTCTCTCCTGTACCTTTTCTAACTCTGGATCTTATCAGAATATGAAATACGCCCTCCTCCATCCTTAGACAGATAGTTATGACGTACTTCGACCTCTGAAGTGAGTATTTCGAGAGGTCAAAGTACGTCATAACTAGTGATCCCTGTTCTCAATGTCACTCAAATTCTTATTAATGATACTCGTAAACTCGCAAACTATCCATGTCTGAGTCCGAGTCAGATTGACCTTAACATCATTAAGTATAAATACTTAGATTTGAGAACATTGAAAGATGTTCCTGCTTAATCAAAGTATAAAATGCTGTTTACTAAGCCAGAGGTGCTGAGGAACATGATGTGGGGTTGAACTTAGGTTGAACGTGCCCTAACGCACCCAAACACACCTGTCATAAATGTATCACAGTCCCCACGTTATTTAGAATGCATGCATTTTTTGTCCTAACGCATGAGTTTCATTTCACAACACATGCGTGGAGACCTGTGAGATGCGTTCCGACTTAACAGTTAATTGTGTCTTACAGCACGACATACGGAGCATTCTCAAAGGTACGATTGCTTGCCATAAGTGTTAAAGTTGATTTTACTTATAATGCAAGTTATAATACAGAACCATGGTACTGACTGGCCAGCAATGCTTTTGTGGAAGACAATCGCAATAATGGTCTAATCCGAAATGCACCGAATGCAAAAAAAACGCAAAAACGCATCACAAAAACGCCAAATTCTCCCTGCCCACGAAGGACTAGGCTCACAGGACGACAGAACCCTGAAGTCAAGTCACCTCGATCAGCTTAGAGCTGAATAGCTCTAGAAAGAGAGGGATGAACGGGGTGTGGTTCACTTGGGGCACAATTCCCCATCCCCGCCCAGTGTTTTTGAGTCTCATTCCCTCTCTAACCCTTAAACGCCTTTATCTGCAAATATGGACAGCATACCCAGGAGGATCATCTTTCTGGTGCGAGCGTCTGGACTAAATCTGTCTCATGGCAGTCTTCAAACTGCGCGATCTAATCTAAAATATATGTATAGAAGAAGGAGATCAGTCAGGCATAGACATGTGGGAGACTTGTTTGTGCCCTATCAAGAACCTCGTGGATTTCCAGCAAGAGCGGTGTGATCATGGCCTCAGAAATAAGAGCATAGGCTTCGTGGTGAGGGTAACCACCGGAAAGCGAGGTGAGCGTGAATCTCCTCAAATTGAGATATGGGTCTGTTGAAAGGCTCAAGGAAGAAAGTGCAATCTGTCCCCACCGTGTTGCAAAGGCCTGTTTATAATTGTGACCGCCCAGTTTCGTCTGTCACTCGTAGAAACCTGTTCTGACCAAAAGACATCGGTACCCTTGAATAATGCCGATGACTTCACACGGAGGGTAGAGATATCTCTTGATAAGAAGAGCACGTATTCGTATTCAGCAGGGTAGTTACATGGATATATGCTATATAATTAGATGTTAGCACACCGTCCAGTTGGTTAGAGGAACATGACAGACATATGATTACAACACTAAGATTTTTGTCTGCCAGGTCGCATAGATCCTTTC